CAGGTGATAGGTCACCTGGTCGTAGAAAGAAGTGAGATTGGTCAAGCAAGACCTACCCACAACAAACCTGTGCTGGCTATCTCTTAGGATGTTGGCATCAGCCAGTCCATTAAGGATGGCCTCTTTAATAAACTTTGCTAAGATCTTCCCAGGGATAGAAGTCAGGCTGATGGGCCTGTATTTACTATATTATACATACAATGTGCGTCTCACTGCAATCGAATTTCACCCTTTTCGATTTCCTTAGCAGAAATCCTAGGATATGATTTCTAATCCCAAGCAAGCAAGCAGTCCGTGTGGATCTTCAAGATCAAATCCCTACCTGCTTTATCATGTTTAAAATACACCAAGGGCTTTGGCACTTTGCACAGAGGGTCAATGTGGCGCATCTACACGTGCACTTTAATGAGTATTAAAGTGTCACAAAAAAGGATGAGCTTTCACTAATACACATTAAAATAAGGTAATGCACCATTTTCTAATACCTCACAATGGAGGTACTACATTCTATGCACATTAATATGAACACATTAATGAACGTGTAGACACGCAACTTGTACTAGATTTAATGTGCATTACCTAAACTGCATTAATTGCATGTGTAGACTCACAGTGTCGCTGGGTTAAGCAGAGACCGAGGCAGTGCAGCATATCCTAGTGCAGTGTTATGCAACCTTTTTCGCTGGTGTATCACAGATTAGCCCTGCACCCTCTTTGGCACCACTCCGATCCCCTTCCCCTACACAATCTGCTGCTCTGCTTTCTGCTCCCTGTCCCCTCCCAGGGAAATGTTGTTCATGCCTTGATGGCTCAGGACTCTCTGCTGATGTGAGATTGGCCTGCATGAATCATTCGGCTTTAAACAGACAGACAGCAGCAACTGGGGGTGTAAGCATGTGTGGAGGGCCCTGGAGAACCTGGGAAGAGGCAAGTGAAATACTGGTGCTGTGACACAAGGGGCCAGGGGAGCAGCATGGAGGATACTTGAGCTACTGGCACAAGCTCAAGCAATTTGGATTGGGACCCAGGTGCAGGGGGATACGCTCTGCCCCTGAGGAGCAGGGCACACATGGCCCTGTCGCAATGTGACCCTGGCAGCTGCACTCGGTGCTCCCCATGCACAACTGAGGGCTCAGAGTCTGCTTCTGCGTCAGCCCCTCCGGGGACAGAGCTGGTGTCCGGACACTGCCCTGCCTCCTCTCTGGTCCGCTGTGGTGGGACACGGGTGCTGAGCTGGGACACTGCTGCACATGCACAGCAACTCTCAATTCGGCACTTAGCAGCCTTTGCCCTCCTCAAAGCAGGAGCTGAAGGGATTTAGAGGCCTGGAAGGTTTTGCAGCCCCGGAGTGGTGACTGCGTTGCTTTTTTGGGGTGTAGCACCAGAGCCAGACACGGTTCCAGCAGCAGCCAAAACACTCTTCTTCTGACCAGTGATTCCCAGTTTATCCAGCTCAGGACTGCAGCAGCCTTTCTGGCCACAGCATCATAAAGAAACTCATGTCCCCCGTGCTCTTGTCAGGGTCCCTGCTTCCCAAAACAGAGCCCGCAGCCTGTAAGCGTGTCTGCACTCGGTGTGCTGGCGGCGTGTCCAGCTCTGCACGTGGCCATGCCAATGCGGATCCGTGTTGTTGCGTGCCAGTGACACCAGTTATTGTATGCTCATTACTTACCACTCTCCCAGCTGCCAACATCATCCAGAAGGAGGGCACGTTTCCTGCCAGGTCACGGATAGGAGCGCTACATGGTGGTGGCCCAAGACATGATACTTGTGGGGCCCGTGGGAAACTCACCGGCTGGACGTCACGTCTCGGGTCAGGATCACACAGACACTATCCCGCGAGGGAGGTTTCAGCCAGTTCAATGTGGTGCAAGGTCCTTCAGGCAGGGCGCAGGGAGGTGAGATGCAGCGGGGCGGCTGCATCACAATCGGTCCTCGTCTCCCGAGCCAGAAATTGGAGAACCGCGAGCCCTGTTTTCTACAAAACCAGAGCGACTGTCCTTAATTACAGGCCAACCTTTTAATTCCCTCTGGACCAAACCCTGTCCCTTGCCCATTTGAAAGGCGGTGACACCCGGCAGCAGTCAGCCAGGGGCCTGCGGCTGACCAGAGGGGAGGCACAAGGGGTGGGCGATGTGGGTATCTGCTGGCAGCCACATGCCGGCTCTCCCTCTGAGCTGCCTGGCCTAAAACTCCTGCAATGTCCCATAGCTGTGCCTGTCCCCGGGACACCAGCTTGTCCCTGCCAGGGCAGTCCCTGGGGACAGGCTGCTCCCAGTGACTCCTCCCCTGGTGTCCCCAGCTCCCAGGGACAGCCCTGCCCTGCAGCTCAAACACAGCTGCTGCGAAGCCAGCTCTCGGTGTGGCTCCAACTCCCTCTCACTCCAGATTTTGAGACCCTTGAGCCATGGCCACGGCATTCGGCCCAAAAATCAGCCAGGTCCTGATGACACCGGACCCCCACCACATCCCCGGGTAAGTAAGGGCAGGGCCTGGGGCGCCAGGACAGCACTGCAGCAGGATGCATGTGGCTTGTGGCAGAGGCTCTCAGCCTGGCACAGCTCCTGTGGCCGGGGCATGGCCCCCCTCGTAGCTTCCTATGCCTGCCCTGGCTTGTCCTGCCCCGGCGCTGTCGCTGCCTGCCACAGGGCCCCATGTGCCGGCCAGGCTACCATGCGCCCTGCTTTGTTTCTGGGGGGAGGGAGAGGTCCCCGGCTGCACTGTGGGGTGGGAACACGCAGCCGGGGTGCACTGTCCCTTGCATTTGAAGCAAGCCTCAGCAAGGCTGTGTGCATCTGTGTACAGGCCTCCATGACAACCACCCACACGCCCAGCTGCCTGCTGAGCCACGGGGAAGCCCAGAGACCAGGGATGGGGGCAAGGGGGAGGGCATGAAGGTGGAAGGGAGCATGGGAAGGGGTAACAGGGGAGCGGGCACCAAATGGGCCCTTGCTCCTGGGGGTCAGCTCGGGGTCCAGCCTGGCATGACTTTATCCTGCAGACTGGCAGCCCCTGCCTGATGCAACTTGGGGTGCAGAAAGGGCAGCTCAGAGCTCCTCTCAGGGTCCCCCAGCCTGGCCAGGATGCAGGCAGCACCCCAAGGGGAGGTTGATCTGGGGAACTCCTTGCTGCAGCAGGATGTCTGCTTTGCACTGCTGATCCCTGGGGCTGGGCTGCATCCATCCTGCCAAGAGAGGATTGGTGACATGGGAGGGCAACACTTGGATGCACTGGGGCTATCTGGGGCTTGGACGCAGCTCAGCACCTTCCCCATTGGGAAGCAGAGGTGCTGTGTGTGGAGCCGGCTCTGCAGCGAGCCTGACCCTGCCAGTGCTGTTTGCAGCTACGCTGGGTACTGCCCCCAGTACAAGTTCAGGCTGGGCAGGACATATGGGAAGCTGACCTCCCAGCTCCTCACCTGCCCTGAGGTTGCCCGCTCCCCACGTCTGGTGCTGCAGCCAACCCAGGGCCCCTGCGATGATGCTCAGCCCCCAGAGCAGGAGGAGAAGCTGCTGGAGGTGCCGAGAGCCGGCTGGGGGGCCGGTGTCCTCCCAGTGAGCTGCAGCATGATCCCGGGATACACAGGTAAGGCCATAGAGCAGGTCCCCCCCCAGCCCAGGAGTGCAGGGCAGGACTCAGCTAGGCCCCCTCCCTTGCCTTGCACCGGTGCATGTGGGGCTGCTGAGCTCAGAGAGGAGGGGTCATAGCCAAGGAAGCCAGGGTAGGATGTCCTGCCTGCTGTCATGGTAGCATAGCAACTCCACGTGTGATGCTGCTGTGATGGTGCAAGGAGCTGCACGTGGCCAGACCAGTGCCTGTGAGCCACAAGGGTGTTTGGCAACACCGGTAAGAATGACGGGCACCTGCCTCCATACCGGGACTGGCATCCTAGTCCCGTCTCAAGTCTCTCATGTAAACACCCCCCATGGGGCTGCCCCATGGGGGTGCTTGGGGCTGCCCCGGGGGCAGGGCAGTGGCAGGTGGGCCCCTACATCCACCCCACTGGCAGGAACCCAGTCCGGCCACACCAGGGCCTTTCTCCCCTGCGGCCAGGCAGATGTAGCCAGCTTCTCCCTGCCTCCCCCACCTCACCCAATCTGTCCCCATTGCACCCGGGACTCAGGCTGCAATTCAGCCACCTCTTCTCTGTGCTCCGGACATGTGGTGCCCAGGATTCATCCCCAGAGCCCAGCACTTCTTTGCCAAGACCTACCTGGAGATCTGCAAGGAAGCCAGGAGTGACTTTGCCCGGCAGCAGCGTAGAGCCTGGGGTGGGCAGGAGCAGCCCAAGGCCCCCCAGCCCTGCCCGGACCCCACACAGGGAAGCAAGGTGAGGCTCAGTTGGCACCTGCTGCTTCCAGGGGAGCCCTCTCCTGCTCTGCCCTTACCTGTCAGCTGGCCAGGAGCGGGGCTGGATGAGCCCTGAGGGTCTCCAGAGACCTGGGATGAAGCCCCTACCTGTTAGGGCAGGGGGCTGGCGGTTTGCACCGATGCCTGCCCCAGTGAGGGGGTCCCAGGACGGTGTCTATGCCCCAACCCAGCAGGTTTCCCCAGGCAGGCCTGCCCAGGAGGCTGCCCTCCCTCACCCCATGGTGCTCACGACCCCTCTCCCACCAGGAGCAGGCGGCTGGGATCCCCAACTCCGATCACCACCTGCTCCCCACGGTCACAGGCAGGGCCCCGCTCCTGGCAGCCGCAGCCCCACATGGCTCGCCCTACTCCATGGCAGACGACGACCCCCACAAATACTTCATCTCAGGTGAGACCCAGGGTGATGGAGCCTTGTCCCCGCTCAGGCGTGGAAGGGGAAACTGGATGTGATGGGGGGCAGCCCTTACCCATCGCCCTGGTGCTCTATGCAGGCTTCACTGGCTTCGTGCCCCGTGCCCGCTTCCTGATCGGGGCCAGCTTCCCCATCACCACACACCGTGCCCTGCTGGAGTTCGCCCGGATGTCCCGCATGGATGGCAGCAGGTGCAGAGCTGTGGGCACTGGCAGCCTCCTCCCACCACTAGGACGTACCCACCCCGCAGCCGGGGGGCTGCTGCCCCACTACACCGGGTACATCCCAGGTGAGCGCATGGCTGCACGGGGAAGGGACCCACCAGGCCCCATCACTCACCTGCAGTGGGCTCTGGCGGGTCCAGCTTGGCTGGGTTGTTCCCACAGACCCTGGAGCTGCGGGGGCTGCAGGAGCTAAGCAACCTGGGACTTGCCATTGCAAGAGTTTTCTTGTGCAACTCCGTGCTTAGCTGGACAAGCCCCGTGCAAAGAGACTCCAGCCTAGGGAAGGGGCAGAGCAACCCCGTGGTCTCACAGCCAAGGGGTTTGAGACCAGCTGTGATCCCGGGGACAGCCCCGTGCCATAGGCTCCAGGCATCTGCTTCATCTCCCCCTTGGGCACAGCTCACGGCTCCTTCCGCTGGTCCCCAGGTTACAAGTTCCAGATTGGCCACACCTACGGTCACCTCACCCACGATGCCCTGCACCTCGGCCTCCTGGACAAGCAGCGGCCGGAGTAGCCTCTCCAGTGGAGGATGGCGCTGAGCCTGGCCTGCGCGTGCCAGGGAATAAAGGCCCATGTGTTGCCCTCCATGATCTGCAGGGTTCACACGCACGTGGGCATCCACTCCTGGAGACCAGGCTGGGGCCGTGCACGGAGGGTGGGGGCTGTACCCCTGGGCACAGCCCAGCCGCAGCCTTTTTCCAGCCATCCCCAGGGCTAAAAGGCTGCGGCGGGGCCTGGATCTCAGCAAAGAACCTCCCCTGGCCTGTCCAGCCACAGCACCCCCAGCCCAGCTGCTGTGGGGGGTGGACCAGAGCCCCTGGGATGGGGTGGGAATCACGAGCCAGTGGCCAGCAGAGAGCCTGGTCAGCATCTTTTTTATTAATATGCATCATAAATAAAGAAATAAATAAAGGCGAGACATCTCGTGGTCCTACCGGGGAAGTACAAAGTAGCTATGGTGCGACGTCCGCGGCAGCCATGTACAAGCAGGAGGCAGCCGTGCGGCCCCC